TTTTCATACAGTGGCTATGTCTGTGTCTTAAGATTTTAAATATTGTTGCACGTTATCATTTGAGAATCCATAGCATACCCCTCTTCCATAATCTTTGGCTAATGAAATTTTCTGTGGAAACAACGTGAATGGGGTTTTAGTTTATTACCAAGATAAATGTTTGTTACAATGCTATGGATGGAAAGGATTTTTTTTTTCTTTTCTTTTATGTTTATTGCAGAAGAAGAGAGAGAGAGAGAGAGAGAGAGAGAGAGAGAGAGAGTGAGAGAGAGGGGCAATGCCTAGCCTGTTCATTTCTGTGAAACTACCAACTATTACCTCGTCTTTTACTTAGTATCAATCTACTGAGTAGGTAACTTAAGTAATAGAAGATTTTTGTTTTTCCTTTTTTTTATAGACCAGTTGCATCTCATTCATTTTGGATATAAATGTGAGAGATGTTATCACTTAATTTAACTACCTAGATGAGACCTGAATATCAACATCATTTCTTGCACCAGAAAGCATCTTTCATGCGTGTTCAAATTCTTAGATCTCTCTAAATCTCTCTGATGCAGAGGGAAAAATAATTCTTTAGTGCATTGGATTCAGCAGAATGCCTTGTGTTCAAAAATTGCTACTCCAAAAGAAATATCTAAGAATGCAGTGTTTTTAGAATTCTTCACAGATAATCAGGTGACTTGGGGAGGAAGAGAGAAATATCTGGAGGTTGTTATGTTATGTATAGGTAGACTGACATGCCAATTGATTTAATCCATATACTCTTTTTTTTTTTTTCTGCTTATTCATGGTGTTGGAATTTCCTTCATGAAAACTCCTTGCAACTTTTACTTTTCCAGTGGTTCATTCTCTCATATTTTCCCATTAATAACTGGGTTTGTCACTGACGGGTGATTGCGAACAGAGATTGTCGATAGTACTATCTCACTGAGGCTTGTCAAATCATGACTTTATCCTCTAGGTTCCCTTCAATGTCTCACCTTGTACATTGCACCTGTATGCAGGGTTTGCAACTCCTCTATAGCATGGCCAGTGAGCTGCTGTTTCTAGGTACAAGCGAGATCATGAATAGCGGATTTTGTTTCTTTTGCGGGTGTCTGATTGCATTTTAACTTTATTGTAACCTGAAAAAGTAGATGATCGTGTCATTGTTTCTCAAGGTTTTTCAGACTCTAGTTATGATAACCTGAAATTCTGCATATCCCTGGTTAGAAATTTTACGCACAAGACATCGCGACTATCATGGTATATACTCTGGAGTTAGCTCAATAGTGGTTTTGAGACAATTGGTAAATCGGGTTTGATGCTTATTGGTTTCATCGGCAATAAAATTTGCAGTACGTTATTTTATCTTGATGAACAAAACCTCCAACTTTTTGTATGACATTATTGTAAGCTTTATAGGATGCAATTTTCACAGCTAAAAGAAGACTACCGCCAAGAACATTAAAGGATTCTTGATGGACCAAGGATTATTTTGAACACATTTTCAACCCCTTAATTCTTGTCATGTAATATATTAAATTTCATCAATGATTAGTCCTTGCCATTTAGCACTCAAACATTTAGGGCCCGTCCGGTAATGTTTTCGGAGAATATTTTCTTAGAATATTTTCAGAGAATGAAAACAAGAAAATGAATTTGCATTTTTAGGAAATTAAAATGTGTCTGGTAGATTAATTAGAAAACATCTTCAAAAAACAAAAACAATGAAAACGTGTATGGTAGTATAATCTGAAATAATAATATATGAGTTCTTTTTGTGAAAATGTTTCCCATGAGAATGAAAACAACTTTTTTCTGTTTTCTACAATTACACATGAATTTGTTTTCATTTTATGAAAACATTCTCAGTGTTTTATGGTTTTGGGCTACCGAACATGTTTTTGCCTCATTTTTGTTTTTTGAAAATGAAAACAACCCCTTAAAACGTTACCGAATAGATTCTGGACGATAATTCAAATCAAGCCCAAACAAAAATCAAACAAATATACTTCCAACATTTTTTATTTTATTTTTGAAGTGTAGTGAATAAGGATTTTCTGTGAATCAGTTGAAGTGAAATTTGAATCACATGACACGAGCAAATCGTGATGTTTTTCATCTTGGTGGGTGCTGTCAAATATTATTTTTTATTTTAAGAAAAAACATTTATTGAATGTTTCTTATACGCCAATAATTCAGGATCATTACGTGACGCACCAACATGAATGTGACCGTTGCCGCAACGTTCGAAATTTATAAAATTTGAAAAAGTTACCTTTTGGTACCTACTTCCCGTTGCCAACGGTCAACTTAAACATCATCCACTTCTTAGTACCCCAACAACAGAGAAAAACCCTCCTCCATCAGAACTAAGAACTATCTTCAACAATCTTGATTGAGATCTTGGTCGAATTGGGGGGTTTTCTGCCAAAATCGTCACCTGGGTATTCAATTTCAAAGTTCAATCGTCGTTTTGCCTAATTCTTCAACATCGAAAAGGCCAGACATGGCGGCTTTGGCACCGGGAATTCTATTGAAGCTTGTGAATGGAATGAACACGGGGGTCAAGCCCACAAGCGAGCACCGAAACTCGCTTTTGCAGGTCACAGACATTGTCCCTGCAGACCTTGACGAGAAGAGCCTCTGGCCCACGCAGGGCTTCTACATAAAAGTCTCCGATTCTTCTCACTCAATCTATGTCAGCCTTCCCTCTGAACACAATGACTTTGTTCTCAGCAACAAAATGCAACTGGGTCAGTTCATCTACGTCGACAGATTGGAACCCGGGTCTCCGGTACCGGTCCTTAAAGGCGCAAAACCACTTCCCGGCCGGCACCCTCTGATGGGTACTCCGGAACCTTTAATGGGTCTCAGAAAGAAGGGAGAGAGAAGTGAGACAATGTCCAATTCAAAGACTTCTAGAAGAGGGTCTTGGGGCACAGGGAAAAATGGGGTTGATGACGGCGTTTCATCTCCCATGGTGTTAAAGCCTGTTCCTTTGGATTTTGATCAGTGTACTCCAATTAAGGAGCGTGGTGGTAGAAATGGGTCCATGTCTCCAATGATTAGGGGGCGAGTGGGAAGAGATGGAGGCTCGAATGGCGGAATTCGGAGTTCGTTGGGTGGTGGACTCTTGGCAAAGATGGCCGGTTCAAAGGGAGGTGAAAGTCCTGCACTGAGGAAAAGTTGTGCTACGCCCTCTATGTCTAAGTTTCCAAGGAGCAGAAGTGTGTGTGACAGAGAGCCAAGGATCCCAATTAGTCCCTTCAACTCAGCTGTAGGTACATTGCTTCTCTTTGTTACATTTTAGTGATTTTACTCTGCTGCAGAAATTGATTTACCCTAATAAAATCAGCCTTTTTCTTTGTTGAAGACTGTTGGATTTTGTTTTCTGAGAATTCAAATTCTTGTTGCAGGAAAAAAAGAAAAGCTCAACTCCACCACCGCGATTACGAAATGCAAGAGTGGCAACTTCACTCAATGTGGCTGGAGATGAACAAAAATCCTCCAACTCAAAGGACACAGCTTCCCAGCCACAACCTCAGCCTGGTAATTTGGGCAATGAAAACAGCCCTAGCCTCCCCATGAATTTGCCAGGACGGCTCAGCATGCTTGGCAAAGTAAGTCCTACACCTCCAAGTGTGCCTATCAGATTTTAACCAAAACCAATTTGTTTTGTTCCTTAAGCTGATATTATGTTTTCTGCAGGAAGCTGTGCAGCAGAGAGAGACAGCTCAAAAGATTGCCCTTAATGCGCTAAGAGATGCTAAAGCTACCGATACCTTAGTTAGATCTCTTAAGTATGGCCAATTCCCTCACTTCTGTTGTTTTAGTACATGTAATATTTGTCTGCTCAATTGCTAAGACCAATATGGTTGCTTTTGTAGGATGTTTTCCAACCTGTGCAGAACAGCTAGAGCAGATGCCCCGGCAACCTGCTTTGATAAATTTCTGGAATTCCATCACCAAATTGTCCAAGAAGTGACGGGTATGGTCTCAATTCAAGCAGCTACTTCAGCTTCTGAGTTGACTCAGACTCCAAATGTTAAGCAGCAGAGAGACGAAGATCAAGATGAAGACTCTTCAGTCTTAAACGAAATCGTTCACAACTCCATGAACTCAAAATTAACCTTATCGAAGAGAAGGTGCGCCTTGTACAAGTCAGTTGCAGCCATTCCAGAAAGAAATGAACAGAAGACGACTTTTGAGAAGCTCCTGAGAAGCTCTATAAATCAAAAGGCAACTTCAGAAAGAAAAGCACCATCCACTCCACTTGGAAAGCTGAGTCTTGAAACCATTGGTGAGAATGATGAAAACAAGAAACCAGCTTCTACCAGTTTTAGTAGCATAACCAATACAATCAAATTGGGCAAGCAGATTGAAACAGAAGCTGGGAACTGGTTCATGGAGTTTATAGAGAAGGCTCTGGAGACAGGCATGAAGAAAACCAAAGGCACAACAACAGATGGGGATGCAAGGAAAGTACCTCAGTCTCTCATACTTAAGGTGATTAATTGGGTGGAAGTAGAACAAAGCAATAGCAGTAAGCGGCCGGTACATCCGAAAGCTGCACATGTAGCTCGAAAGTTGAGGATCAAGATGAAGAATCCTTGAACTGTTGAACAACCCACCACGAGTTGTGTATTTTGCTTAGTTAGGAGAACTTCTTTTGGCAGGCATTGCTTTTGTGTTGTGAAATTTTTACCATTATTTGGAGATTCTGTTGTTGCATTTGAATCTCTAGTCAGCATGTACTAGTGATATAATTAGGCTCTAATTCTATTGTTAAAAGCGCTACGCATTTGTTGAATCTCGTATGAATCTCAGCATGTACTCAAATCAAAAGTTTAGCTCCATAAAGGCTTAAAGTTGATTTAGGGGGTAAGAAAATTTGTGAGGGATAAAATGGTCATAAAGGCTTAAATTTGATGAGGCCGGAAATACCGATAATACCCTCAGTATTTTTCTCAAAACGACGGCTACTACGATATCCTTCTCCTATACTAGCTCGTTTTGAAAAAAGACTGAGAGGGTACCTTCTATATTTTCGACCCAAAAAAATAGATATCTTCTCCTACTCGAAGTCGATAGTTTCCCTCTCCTCCCCCTTCGAACACAAACGAAAACCCATAAGATTTGAAGTCCGAACAATAAACCCGTGCTAAGCAAGAGATTTAAATTCGGTGAGTAGCTTTTATATCCCATTCTCATGTTCTTTCTTTTAATTTTCAAAGCCTCAAACGAGTGATTAGTTATTTTTGGTGCTTGCCTTTCGAATTCACGAATAAAGTCTCAAATTTTCAACACAAAGACCAAATTTGGGGTTTAGGGTTATCCCTTTTTTCTATGAATGGATCTTCTCCGAGCCTACTCTGATCAAAACGACGAAGAATTGAACGAGCCAGAGCAGCAAAACCAAAACCCTAGTTCAACAACATCGTCCCCAGACGCTTCACCGCCTCGGCTCCTCCCCGCCAAGTCCGCCGCGCCCAATGTCGACGACACGATGCTGGCCCTGACGGTGGTTGATGGCCAACGGTCTTTGAGTCGGCCAATTGACCCGACCCAACACATCGTCGGCTTCAACCCCACCTACGACCAACTATGGGCCCCAATCTACGGCCCATCTCATCCCTATGCCAAGGACGGCATCGCCCAGGGCATGCGTAACCACAAGCTCGGCTTCGTTGAGGACGCCTCTATTGAACCCTTCGTCTTCGATGAGCAGTACAATACTTTTCACAAGTATGGCTACGCGGCCGACCCGTCAGCCTCTGCTGGGTATAATTACGTTGGTGATTTTGAGGCCTTGCAGAAGAATGATGCCGTTTCGGTATATAACATACCCCAGCACGAGCAGAAGAAGCGGAAGATAGAAAAGAGGAAGGAATTAGAGGAAGATGAGGGTGTGGATGACGATATGGACCCAGAGGAGGTCCAAAACCCGGCCAGTGATGTGTGGTTGATGAAGAATAAGAAGAGCCCATGGGCAGGCAAGAAGGACGGTCCGCCAACGGAGCTCACAGAGGAGCAGAAGAAGTATGCCGAGGAGTATGCGAAGAAGAAAGGTGAAGAGAGAGGTGGTGGTGATAAGGGTGAGGTTGTGGTTGAAAAAACTACATTTCATGGGAAAGAAGAGAGGGATTATCAGGGTAGGTCTTGGATTGCGCCCCCTAGAGATGCTAAGGCATCTAATGATCACTGTTATATTCCAAAGAGGTTGGTGCACACTTGGAGTGGACACACAAAGGGTGTATCTGCTATTAGATTCTTCCCTAATTACGGGCATTTGATTCTCTCTGCTGGGATGGATACCAAGGTGAAAATTTGGGATGTTTTCAATACTGGTAAGTGTATGAGAACTTACATGGGTCATTCCAAGGCAGTTCGGGATATATGTTTCAATAACGATGGGAGTAAATTTCTGACTGCTAGTTATGATAAGAATATTAAGTACTGGGATACAGAAACCGGGCAAGTGATATCTACATTCTCGACCGGGAAGGTTCCATATGTGGTCAAGCTTAACCCGGATGAGGATAAGCAGAATGTGTTGTTAGCTGGGATGAGTGATAAGAAGATTGTTCAGTGGGATATGAACGAGGGAAAGATCAATCAAGAGTATGATCAACATTTGGGTGCTGTGAATACGATTACATTTGTTGATAATAACCGGAGGTTTGTTACTTCCAGTGATGACAAATCGCTTCGAGTATGGGAGTTTGGGATCCCTGTGGTTATTAAGTATATAAGTGAGCCTCACATGCATTCTATGCCATCAATTTCACTGCATCCCAATTCAAATTGGCTTGCAGCACAAAGTATGGACAATCAGATTCTGATTTATAGCACTAGAGAGAAGTTTCAGCTGAATAAGAAGAAGAGGTTTGCCGGGCATGTTGTTGCTGGGTATGCTTGCCAAGTCAATTTCTCGCCAGATGGACGGTTTGTTATGTCGGGTGATGGTGAAGGTCGATGCTGGTTTTGGGATTGGAAGACATGCAAAGTCTTCAGAACTCTCAAATGTCATGAGGGGGTATGCATTGGGGCTGCGTGGCATCCCTTGGAGCAGAGTAAAGTTGCAACATGCGGCTGGGATGGCTTGATTAAGTATTGGTAAGTAAAGCTTCATTTGATAACACTTTATGCTACTCTGTAATCATTTGTATGTGCAGTGTTTAGTTTTTATTTGTTTGAGTAGTTTCATTTACTTGATGCTAAAGGATGTGCCTATTTGTTCATCTCTGCTAAACTCTTGCAATTGCCAACGCTGACTTTTGTATTTGGTATCAGATATAGCCCAGTGTAGTTTATAAGTAGTATGAAGCTCACGTATTTAATGTATTTAGCGAATTAGCTAGATTGCATACTTGACCGTGTTCACATAAGCTCCATTATGTTTGGGAACCAGAAATGTAGGATTCCTAACCGACATATTTGTGTTTTTCCCCTCCAGAAGAAACTTCCTTTCCTCTATCCACCTCATGAATATATAAGACACATTTTAGGAATTGAGGTGGATTAGAGGAATTTGCTGGATTAGAAAGAAAAAATTGAAATATGTCAGTCAGCAAGTCTATCCACCTCAATTCCTACACATTTTAGGAGCAAATTTGTGTACTGGGAATTGAAATCTTTTCTTATTGGGTTGGATTAGAAAGAAAAAATTTGCTCCTCTTAGGACACATTTTAGTAAAATGGAGTTCTCCCTGTTCTTTTTAAATATGGTTGTAGGGATGGGAGGACTTACACTGTAGGAATTGAAATCTTTTCTTATGGGGCTGGATTAGAAAGGGAAAATGTACACTGTCCTTTTTCCTTACTTTTTCATCTTTGACTTAGACTTCATAAGGAACTTGTAGTTATGTATACTTTTTGATTTGTTAATGGTTACCAGCTGTTTCGTAGGCCTGTAAACGCTTGAGTCTTCATAACTTCTGGTTTAAGAATTTTAGGAGACTTGTGGTCTGATAAGAAGTAGCATGGTAACTATTAGAAGACAAGTTCTAGTCTTTCGCGTCCCTTTCCTACCTAATTATGCCCTAATGACTTGGGATCAATTAACTCTCTTTCTTTTGTGTTTGTGCATGTGTGTTTGTCTTTGATTTAATGTCTTTATTTTATCAAACCCAAATGGATGAAGGGTACCAAGCTGAATGGAGCATATTTCTTTTAGCATGCAACGTATTGCACGAAACAAGTTTGCCACATCTCATGTTTGGTAGTTTAACTGAACTTCCATTTCGGCTTTTCTTCTTTCTATTTATGGTGCTATCTTGGCAAAAAAAAAGGTTCATAAAGTTGTTCCTTCTTTTGCCCTGCATGGGACAAATACTAGGCTAATACAGGGGAGTGCTTAACCTTTCCCGTCACCAATCTAGATAGGGGTCAGCAAGCAAAGTGTCACCATCAAAAGTAATGGTCGATGCAATCTTGCAATTGATCCGTTGGTTTCGCACATTTGAGTTATATTACATGGAGGGATATTTTTCACAAAACCAAGATTCTTACTTGCTCTTCATAGTTCATGGAGAACTGTTGCAGTTGCTTACACAAACACACAATATGTTTTGCATTCCTTTTAATATTGAATTGGTGAGTCTGACTAATCTTCTTGTCTGGATGCAGGGACTAGCTACATTTTAGTTCAGTTTGGACAAGGGTACTATAATTTGATGCACCCTTTTCTGCTCGGTACGGTTATGGCACCATTATCGTCTGATGTTGGGGATTTTGCTGGACACAAGGATACTTCCAAGATTGCAGGACAGACTCTACTTATATCTTTATCTTACAATCACCAATATCATCCAGTTATGCTGGATATGTACTTGTAACACAAGTTCTTGTTTTTTGTCGTTCTGTAATTGTATTTTTGAAGACTTTTAGAAGTTTAACAAGGGTAATATTTTTGCAAAAGTCTGGTGTACTTGGTAGTTCAGACTCAGAGAAATTGACAGCTTCATGGATAGTCTTCTTCTGTCTTATTTGGGCATTGATGGATCTGTATGGTCACCTAACCTATCTTTAATTTTGCTCTAGCAGCAACATTGCATTTGGTGCCATAACATGTTGGAGATATACTTGTTGAAACCTTCGTGGCAGTTTAGAAGCTATATTAATTGGATTCTTTCTAAAGACAATTTGCATAGTTTCCCTTGTATCCAAGGTACTAGGTCCGATGCATACTAGTGATAGGAAATATTTATCCAAACACCTGATGCCTACAAGTGATGAGAATATTTACTTATACACCCAAGATATTGGGCTTGATTCATCCTAGCCGATTTGGCTGTCTTAAGAAAAAGAATTGTAGTCATCAATATTTCCAGACCAAAATATAATTAGCACTCCGCAAACAACATAGACCAGTGACTAGTCCTTGAAACGCTGTCGTTTTTAGCCTAGTTAGCAACCTTTCCATCCCAGGACCTTACTGGTCACCACTGTCGTGTCGCGAGGGATGGGTCGTATGTGGATGAGACGGATGCTGCTCAGACAAAACTCTCTACCTCTGCTGAAGCCTCCCATGGCCTGCTTGTTAACGCCTGCGACACTCCAAAAGCCCATCTCCTCTCCCTTTCTGAAACCATTACCACCAACTCTCGCTCCTCTTGCCTGGTCCCACCGTCGCTCTCTTTCAACAGCAACAGCTTGTTCTCTTCCGGATCCTCTCGTTTCCCTCGATGGAATTTCTTCCCATTTTGGTGAGCATACATTTGTTTCACTGATCAAGGTCGCTGATTTCTGATTTTTCTACTCTGGGTTCTTCTTCTTTGTTCTGATTTTGGCTGCCTTGTGGTTAGGGGGAGATGACGGCGTTGGAACTTCAAACAAGGGCTTGAAGGTTCTTCTCAAGGGAATGACATACGATGAGCTTGAAGTAATTGCTTTTTATCTCACTAAACTGGCTTCGTACTTTTGCTTGTTAACTGAAATATGTTGCTTATAATTGTAATGCTTTGACAGAAATGGGTTCAGTCTCATGGCTACAGGCCTGGCCAGGCTTTAATGCTATGGAAACGTCTCTATGGGAACGGTATTTGGGCGCATCATAGTGATCAGCTGGAAGGTTTCTCCTCCTACTTTGCCTTATTTCTGTTAACCCAATTCCACGCTTCCTCAATACAGTCATTTTTAGTAAGCAAATTGTTTTATGTTTCATTCTCTCTTGACGTAATTTGATTTCCGGTCAATGAATTCTCTCTCTCTTGATATGCAGGTTTGAATAAAGATTTTAAGAAGATGTTGAGTGAGAATGCTGAATTCAAGGCATTGTCTTTGAAACAAGTTATTACCGCCGCTGATGGAACTAGGAAGGTACATGAAATCATTTCCTTATGTTTCTGAATTGCTGAACTATCATCTTTTAACTATCTTCATACACAGGCTACCATACTCAGTGTAAAACTACTTTGGGATTTATCATATATGGCTTTAGGTCGTTCCTTGTATTTCTTTGAGAACCTTCTCATTGATTGTGAAACTCACAGGAGGTTTCAGATTTTGTTCACTTTGGAAGATGGATTGGTGATAGAAACTGTTGTCATACCTTCCGATAGTAGCAGGAATACTGTTTGTGTTTCAAGTCAAGTGGGCTGTGCCATGAATTGTCAGTTCTGCTACACTGGCAGGCAAGTTTTTCATGCTCTGTAATTAAGCTAAGAATTCTATGGTATTTCAATTAGGCCAGATAATCTGAATGTTAGTTCAAAATCATTCCATTTTACAGGATGGGTTTAAGAAGACATCTGACTGCTGCCGAGATTGTGGAGCAGGCTGTCTTTGCACGGTGCCTGCTTACGAGTGAAGTTGGTGAAATTACAAATGTTGTATTTATGGTAGGTTAGCAGTTCGGGATACATTTCAAATGGATATGAGTTTTTTCTTTAATTAGATTCAGAAAATCCTAGTTCGCTTTTCTGTCAACTAGACCCAAGTAACTTGCAGAACCTGTATAACCTCAGCTTGTGCTGATTTAGGTCATCTGATAACAGATACTTTCTTCCTCTCTGATAATAGGCTTAAATTTATATTTCTAGGGAATGGGAGAACCACTTCAGAACATTGACAATGTTCTTAAAGCTACAGACATAATGCTACATGATCAAGGCCTTCATTTCAGTCCTCGCAAGATCACTGTTTCAACAAGTGGGCTTGTCCCCCAGCTGAGGCGTTTCCTCAAAGAATCTAATTGTGCTTTAGCTGTTAGTTTGAATGCAACGACTGATGAGGTATTTCTGTTCAGTTATATTTGAACTTGCGAACAATATGTCCATGAAATTAGAACTGCACAGTGGTATGACCTTCCTTACACAAACATTGGATTCGCAGGTCAGAAACTGGATCATGCCAATTAACCGGAAATATAACATAGGCTTGCTTCTTCAGACCCTTAGGGAGGAACTTCGCTTCAAGAATAACTACAAAGTTCTCTTTGAATATGTAATGCTTGCAGGAGTTAATGATAGGTAAATGAAGTTTTATACTTCATGTTGTTTGACTTGAATATGTAATTTATTAAGTTTCTTTTGTTGCAGTATTTCATGGAATGCAGCATGCTATTATTCTGCAAATCTAATGTCATTCAAGCTCAAATTATTTGATTAGGATCTGTTTGAAGCAATATTTGTTTGCTCCCAATTAGGGATTCCTTTTCTCTTTCTGGTCATGAATTTATTCTTTGCATGTTACAGCATTGAGGATGCAGGGAGGCTTGCTGATCTTGTTCAGGGAATTCCATGCAAGATCAATCTTCTCTCATTTAATCGTCATGGCGGATCCCAATTCAGACCAACCAGTGACGAGAAGATGATTGAGTTTCGAAATCTTTTGGCTGAAGCAGGGTGTGTTGTCTTCTTGCGGTCGAGTAAAGGTGATGATCAGATGGCTGCTTGTGGTCAGCTTGGAAATCCTGGTGCAATCCAGGCTCCCTTGCTCCGTGTGCCAGAGCAATTCAAAATGGCAATGGAAGTGTCTCTGTGATCCGATCATCTCAACATTGTATTCCCAAAGCCTATAGATGAAGCTGAAGCTATGCGTTAATTTTATTACTAGCCTTGGAGCCATCTCTTCTGGTGCATCGGCGTCGCATCGAACAAACTTGGGGTATCTGGCCTTTTTGGAATTCCTATCTTCCCTCCCGCGTCGCATCACCATGGCCTGCATGTTCAATCTTAGCTCTCTCTTGTATGCATCCACCTCATTGCTGTATCAGCGGGTCTGTTACCAAACTAAGTAGAAAAGCCTGGCTAGGAATAGTATTTGATGTCTTCTGCAAACAGTAAATGTAGCTTCTGTGTCGGCAGATGCTAAATTCCCCATTTGTGAGTCTTTAAACATTAAAGCCTTAATTAATTCATCGTGTTTTTTCTTTGGTCAAATTCAATTAACCCATGATACATGATATGATAAAGGCAAAAAAAGGTAAAACAATGGTCAACAATTTAATATGGTGAATTCAAGTTTGAAGTCGACGTTCCTGCATGGTAAGAAGTTCGTTTAGTCCATGTTTAACGTTAAGAAAAATTCGTTAATCATTTTTCAAACTTAAACTAAGAAGTTCGTTAATCGAGGCTGAGAGGTAATCGCCACAGCACGCTTCATTTCCCTTTTTCTCTTCTGAAAAACAACAAAAAACACGTTTCCAATATTTAAGTAAGGCAAACGGGCCAGCTGGCCAATATTTAAATTCATAATTGGATCGTAATAGCCACGCGCCGAATCTACCACGAAACACTTTTTGGCGGCATCTCTTCCTTCACCACCACTCCAAAATTTTTGCGGCTATATAAAGTTCCTCCGGCCGTTTCCCTTTGTAATTTTGTATCGTCATTGTAACCAACTCTCCCTCTCTGTTTCTCATACCATCGCTAGCTATCCAGAGTCGAAATCGTAAGATTTTAGTCTCCGAGCTCCATTGCTCTACTTCTTCTCTGTCAGCGTTCCAAGTTCAGTTGTGAGCCAACAATGAGAGCTACTGCGAACAATGGGAGCTATCGGGATCGGAGATCGATGAAGCATGTTCTGGACAACGTTCATGGATACATCTACCTCGAGCCGGTATGAGAATCGATTTCACCGTTTAACTTCTCTTGCGAATTCGCAATATCGTTTCTGTTTCCGTTTCCTGCTTTGAATTTGTTCCTCGCTACTAGAAATGTAGAATCGTAGTTTAAATTATCAAGTCTATTTGTTTTCGAGCTCTAAATTCGTGGTTGAATTTAATGCGGTGAAACGTTGCAATTTCGCCTCGTGAACTGTTTGCTTCGGCTAGTAGTTCATAGAAATGCATATTGTATAATTAATCTTATTTTCATATATTTCGAGCTGTTTAATTGCGATTTTAAGTTTAAAGAGATAAATATGGGCCGGCGATTCAGAAATCACTATATTAGAGAGCGCTGATTTGTGCTTTGTTTGGTTCCTGTCTCAGAGTATTAGGAAATCGTTTGGTGAATTAATACTGGATATCAGCTCGAGCTTGTGAATCGAGGTTTTTATTTTGTTTTTGATCGAGTTATACGTAATGTAATTTTTATTTTGTCAGAAAGTTTTTCTGCTTTGAGTTATACGTAATGGTTCAGATGCTTTGGTAAAAAACTGCAAGTGAAGATTTGATGTTCTCAGATTGATAATTCGTCAGGTGATTCGAGTAGTTTGGTCTTGAAAAGTTGAATAAATGAGCTGCATAGCCATTCAAATTTTTTGAATAGTTTCTCATGAGTGATAGAACCTTTACTTGACGATTAAAGGACCTAAGGCTGGATTTCTTAGTTTTATTCTTTGAAGGATTTCAAGTCAAACTTCATACAGAGCATTGAAATTGTTTAATGATAAAGCTCAAAGAAGAAGAAGCAGCTTAAATTCTCAGATTAATAAATTAACAAGTGAAATTGAACTTTTGATATATGACGGAAGTCACTAAATCGTAGCAGATCTGGAACAGAGTGTCTTTTACTGAATTTGAGTTAATAAGGAAACGTAATATTGGAAAAGTTTCGAAAAGAAGATGGGGTTGGATTTGAGATCAGCAGCTCAATGTTTTATTAGGGCTAATAATTTGAGATCTCATGTTTGACGTGATTTTTAATTTTAAAATTCTCGAGGGAAGTATCTAAAGATGTATTCCTTTCAGATTTACTTCTGCACTTTACGTGCAGTATGGATTCCCTTCAGAAGTGCATTGCATTTAACTTAAAATATTCTCTATTGTTCATGGAATTTATGTTACATTATACAATCGTATCAAATGAATCTTTGTATGGTTTGTTGCAGCTATTCTTGCAGTTCATTGACACTGAACAGTTTCAGAGGCAAGTTTGATAAAACTCTATGCAAGGGTCATTTTGTCATTGAGTAAATTTTGGTGTTTCTTTTTTTCCTGATAAATTTATTGCCTATTGCAGGCTTCGTGATCTTAAGCAACTTGGTGAGTTGAACTTCACTATATGAATTATCAGTAACAAATATTAGATTTATAAGTAACTAGGACACCAAATTTCTAGATATTGATTGATGTAGATATGCTGACATAGTCTAATAACGGGTACCAGTTTCATTTTGATTGTGACCAATGGGTGTGCATTTGTGTCTGTGTGTGTATGCACATACATATGCATTAAATGTACTTTATCTATTTATATCCTCAGTCTTAGATCACCTTCTACATTTATCTCAGTAGTTGTTCTACTTATGTATATCTATTGTTGTTCATCACACAAACATCAGGTTTGATTTTAATGTTACTTCCGATCCAGGTCTGACACACATGGTTTACCCTGGGGCTGCACATTCTCGATTTGAGCATTCACTGGGAGTGTATTGGCTGGCTGGTGAAGCTGTCAATAAAATTAATTTTTACCAAGTAGGAATTTTTATCACGGCCTAGTCATTCTCATTATGAAACCTATGAATAAGAACTCTTTCCTATTTCATCTGCCATCCTTGTAGGGCCAGGAGCTTGGAATTGAGGAGTTTGACAGGAACACAGTAAAACTTGCTGGTAATCAGACTGTACCTGCCATAATAAATGCTTTCCTTTAAGTAAGATTGTCCTACATATCTATTCTTTTGTCAAATCTCTTTCTAGGACTACTGCATGATATCGGCCATGGCCCTTTCAGCCACATGTTTGAGCGCGAGTTTCTTCCTCGGGTTCTTGATGGTTACGAATGGTGATTCTTACATTCTTCAAGTGAATTTAGCACGGATTTAAACCTTTCTGAAACTAATATTACTGATGTTCTGTTTCATTTATGACTTTCACATGCAACATGTCCTTATTCTTTAGGTGAGACTTAAGAGCATATTGTGCAACTCAGTAGAGGGAGCTTTATGTTTGTTTGATGGTTGTAAATCGTATCTGCTTTAGTTAGGATATCTATACAGTTTTGGGGTTGACTTTTTTGTACTTTCTAGGTCTCATGAGGATATGTCTCTGAAGATGATAGACTACATTGTCGACAAGCACTGTATTGATATTGATTCGGCAATCCTCAAGACTGCGAAGGTTAGATTGTCTTGCCATCAACTTTATCTTTAGCTGTTTTTCTTCCAACTGTCAATACTCCGAGAAGAAGTCACTCAAATCCCATCATATAGGCAGAAAAGATGCAACATTTTCAAACTTTCTGCTACTTGTGGGGAAAAAAATAGCAGGAAGCATTTTTTTTTTCACTTGTTTAAGGCTGGGCTGAATTCTTTCAGCTTTGATTGCATTCTGGCATCCTTCCTTGTATCCTCATTGATGTCTTCATTTCTTTGCAACTTTTAACTGCTGAGATCACTTCACCTTCTCAAAGTGTCTTTGTTGGCTCAATATGTGCTAACTTGAATGATGGCGGACATTTGTACAATAATAAGAATGAATTAGGATATAATATTTTGGGACTGTTATGTATCTTTACAGGAAATGATCCTTGCCAGCTCTGAACATGGGCCACAAAAAGTAAGTTGTCATAGAGCTTTAGGTTTAATTTTGAGTACCTCAGAACATCTTACAAACTTATTTTTCCCCTTAATGTTTGTACTCTATATTGGACTCCTTTAGTCATTTATTCTTAGCCCCTTTTGCAATTTTCTTAAAATGTAGAGCATGACAGAAAAGCGTTTCTTGTATGATATTGTTGCAAATGGGCGAACTGAAATAGACGTTGACAAGTAGGTCACTTGATTTCTTTTTATATTTTTGTTTGGCATTCCATGTGGATATTGTATAAATTGCTACTTGTTATCTGACAATACTAAGTGATACATATGCCAATTGTATACAGGTTTGATTACATTGTGCGTGACTCCCGAGCATGTGGTATTGGTTCTGGTTTTCAATTTGAAAGGTATTTATAAAGTAATAATTTCCAGAGGGCTTAAATTCAGCGAAGATCTATGCTTATTGCTCCTCTGTCCAGTAAACTAAAATTTGTGACATTTCCATTTCTGCAGAATTTTGAACTTCGTGTATTGTGTTATTTGCACATACTTTTTGGAAACTATACTTTTCCATATCCATACTGCAGCTTTTGACAGAACCTTGTTTGTTGTTCATACTTGCAGGCTGATGGAAACTATGAGAGTGATGGATGATGAGATATGTTATCGCGCTAATGAGTGTCAGTATATCTTGAATATTGTCCTCCCATCACTCTTGCAACATAGTAGTTATGGTTCTGTAAATTTTATTCGATATCTTGGTCAGATCTGACACTCCACAAGCTATTTGCCACTCGTGCTGATCTTCATCGGACTGTGTACACGCATCCAAAAGTGAAGGTCCTAGATAGAACCAATAATTTTTAGCTGAAACATCTGAATTATAATGGCACCATATTTGGACTTCTCTGATATGCCTCTAAACATCAAATTCGTTCTCAGGCTATTGAACTCATGGTTGTTGATGCTCTGTGCTATGCAAATGCTGATCTTGGCATTGCAGCTTCAATTCAAAAACCATCTGAATTTTGGAAGGTTTTAAGATCTTTATTAATTAACAGATTTTGATCAAGGCTTTTATCATTATAGCACTAATGTATCCATCTTAAAGTGCAGTTGGATGATTCAATTTTGAAATGGATCGAAACCTCTGATTCTGATAGCCCTAGCCTCAAGGAAGCTAAGAATTTAATCCAACGCATCCGTAAAAGGGATCTGTACCAGGTATCCTAATATGTTCACCATACAAGAAATGGGGCATGATGTTTTAAACGATTCAAGTGTCCCAGAATCTTAGCTTGTCCTAGTGTGATTCATTGTTTTGTTAATACAATCTGAAGACTGAAGGCGATTTGTAACAATTTTATCTGCTTGGCAGTACTGCAATCAGTTTTCTGTTCCAAAGGACAAGCTAGAGAATTTCAAAGACATCACGCCCCAGGATATAATTTGTTCACAGGTTCAAAATGTATTATAAGCTCTCTCTCTCTCTCTCTCTCTCTCTCTCTCTCTCTCCCTCTCTCTCTCTCTCTCCTTATGCTTAGCAAGTAGACACATGATACCTGATGTATAATTTTCCATCCTAGAAATCTGGTGGTGTTACACTGAAGGAAGAAGATGTTGCTGTGAGCACTGTCAAAATTGATTTGACTCGTGGAAGGATGAACCCTCTTGAACGGTACCTGAAACCAAATCAAATAATGATCATTATCGAGACACTGTTTGTATTCCTATAATATTGATTGAATTTGCTTTTAGTAATTTAATTTGATAAATACGTTTATCTTTTTCATGCCTGTACCCTGCTCATCCAGAATCAATTTTTTCAAGGTACAATTCTCCTCTATGGCCTAGATGCTAATATCTTATCAGTCCTCTTTGAAGCTGCTGATCTGAAAATAAAAACTGACAAGTCTCTTAAGCTGTGTGACATAGTGGGAAACAGAACAGCTACCAAAAGATTGATTATTTGGAATAAGATTATTCTCATTTAGCAAATCATCAAATTTAACCTGATTATAGTTTAAAATTCGATGACACTGCTGATGTTCAATTGTTCATTTACTATATCTTCATAGTAGTGCATGTTGAATTGACAGACAAGTTGGTTTTTTTCAGGATTATGATAGCTCTGAGAAATTTCAAATCCCTGATGATCGCATAAGTCACTTGCTTCCCAGATTTTTCCAAGATAGGATAGTGAGGGTGTACGCAAAGAAGCCGGAACTGGTTCGTGCGCTTAATACATGTTGTCCTTGTTGTCATTAAATCATGAACTTAATTGAAGCATATGACTGATGAGTGAGATATAATCATTCAGGTGGGAGCAGTTGCTGAGGCCTTTGAGAACTATCAGGTGAAGACATATGGATGTAAAGCCCAGGTACATGCAACTCCTGATAAAAAGAAGGCACGCAAACAACTGGAATATCAAAATCAAAATGACCGTCAGTGACCACTGTGTATATCCATATATCTGACTGTAAAGAAACGTAAACATCCTACCGCATATTATTTTGGATATCAGCAACTTTGTAAATGTACGTATGAATATCTGGAAGCCATGAGAAACTTTGTAAATGTACGTATGAATATCTGGAAGCCATGAGAAACTTTGTAAATGTACGTATGAATATCTGGAAGCCATGAGAAACTTTGTAAATGTACGTATGAATATCTGGAAGCCATGAGAAAATGTATAAATCCATAAAATCGTGTATCTCTCTTGACATGGATATGGTCAATGATGGTTTGACGAAGCTTGTTTACAATTTTTTTTTTTAAAATTGGTGGAAGTTTGGACTTGGTTCCAAAATCATGAGTTTTCCCATGTTTTTGGTAACAAATACAGCTCGTTTAGATGCGTAACTCAAGTCGTATGGTTCCACAATTTCTTTTTTATGTATCCACGTTTCTTCTTCTTTTTTAGTTTTGTTGTTTTTTTGGAAAAACGAATGCGTTTCTTACCATTTAGTGCTCAATCTATACTAAAAAGTGATGTGTTGTGGCCGCCGTCGAAAGTGAACAGCTTGTCTGCAACAGTGGGATTCAAACTCCTACCCCCGCTCCTTGTCTTTTGCACCTTAACCAATACACTGAAGTCTCATTTGTGTATTTGTTCCAAAAGCTTCCTACTTATGTGAATCATGCGGGTAGTTGTTACTGCTGTTAATTAATTACTTGAATTCCTATGATTATTTTCTCTCTTTCATGTTTAATTTTTTTAATATTATTTATTTATTTTAAATATTTTCATGCACTTAGTTAAAAAAATGTGAACATTCTTAGTATTTTATTTATTATTGTTTTTATTATTATTATGATAATTAATATCTAATCAACTTATGTAATTTACCATGCAATGTATAAAGTGTAAAATGTTATACTAAATTATTATAAATAAAATTAGAATGTGTTTAATATTTTTTATATATTAATTAATACACATTTTCTAGGTCATAATATTTGTCAACTCCTAACATAGTCACTTGAAATTACGATATTTCCATATTTTTGAACCACCAATATCTAATACCTTGATAATATAACTTTTCCCTTCTTGTCGGTGACAATACAACTAGCTTATATGTGAGAAGCGAAGCCTAAGCCTTAAGCTAAGGGTAATGATCACGGGGTGCAACCGTGCAAGAGGTGTCTTATGTATATATGCATGTTTTTTCTTTTTTCTTTTTTAGAAAAAAGATACCCTTATAAGATGTACATCCACGTTTAATTTTGTAAATTTAGGGCTGGATTATCTTCTATTTAATTCTGTAAATGAAAGGCAGTCGTCCAGTTGTACAAGGATTACCATATTAGAAAGGAAGAGGTGGCCTTCGACTATACACAAATTCAAACCTCCTAACTCACATACCTAAAATATATACACAACCAGACCATACCACAAACTCAAACCTCTCTTCAACTCTCATGCTAAAGATCTCATGCCCTAATAATCTTCTCATGCCCTTATTTTTTTCTTGATTATGCAGTGGTGGAGTGGGTAGAAGACGGGCAAGGAACAAAAGCTGAAATAGCATCTTTAAAAGATTTTAGGCAGGAGATCCTCTGATGTATATGGAGTGAAATAGCACCATTACAAATCCGCTTAGGTGAATCCAAGTTTTGTTTTGTTTTGTTTTTTTTAAAGATGCCATGTTTCTTGTCATTTGGTGCTTGATCTATTTAATTAGGGATCTCGAGCCTCTTCATTTAGAATTTACACATTTTTTCACATTTCGCTTGATTTTAGTCGTCGTTATAATCTAATCACATATAACATGACACGTTAGCAACCATAAATTTAGTTGTATTTTATGAGAACCACCATATTTTTTTAACAACCTAAAATCAATTTTGCCCTTATAATTAAAAAAAAATAAAAAATTCAAAACTTGAAACTTAAAAAAAATGAAAAAAAGAACAACCCTACCCATCTCTTCTTTTATTTTTATCGTCTCCTCTTTTGTCAGAGTCTCCCTTTTCTTTTCTATCAACACAACCCCATAACCTGCTGTAGAAACCATACCCAGAAAATTTCTCACAGTAAAACAGCCTAATTCACATACCCAGAAACACATAAATTAACCAAATCAACACCCAATTCAGAAAGAATTTTGACAAGAAAAGTTTGCATGGATCCAATTCATTAGCCAATTCAAGTATCAAACCCAAATCATAGAGTTGAAGAGCTAAAGTATGCATTGCATTCCCTTTTTTTTTTTTTGTTCGAAAATATGATTTCATTAAAAAGCCAGAAAGGTTGCATCAACAACCAACATAAAGGAGAAGAACATACAACACACTAAAGCTTCTCTAAGAGAAAGAACTCAAGCAACAAAGTGACACAAACAAACATAACAATATGAAAGACTGAGAAGCAGCAATAGTCGAAACACCATAAAGCAATAGAACTGGTGTCTCGGCAGTAGAGCACTTCGGGACCTGTAGCCTTTTGAAAGCCCATACACTTGAAGCACAGGGGAGTCCATCGTTCCCCAAGACAAAAATAAGAGAGGTTGGGGTGGTGATGCGGGTGCAACAACGCCGATGCTGGGAGGGAGTGGGTTTGGCTTCTTGTTTTGTTTTTTCCTTTCTTAATTTTATTGGAAGGGCAAAATTGGACTTTTAGACTATTAAAATTAAATTAAACTTATGGTAGTTGTCATGTCATGTTGTAGATCGTTGAATTATTATAACGGATGTGCGAAACAATACGAGATCTATTTAATTAGTATCCTTCAATATCTTAAATTTTTTTCCTCCGGAATTAAAATATATGTAATTAGATGTCACCTAATATCAATTACATTGAAGTGAAAAGTTACAAGTAGCCAGCAAGTCTTAAAATTACTTGTATCACACAGTTTACATTTTACACCTAACCCAATTAAAAACGAGTTCGGCCTGAATTGAAACTATGATTTGCTACACCACAGTTATACGGTTACCAAATAACTGTTGGATTTTACATGAACAATTTATAGATGAGATAGTGAAATTGAAAATAAGAGCACCAAATAATATTTTGCCTTCGTTAAAACTAGGTACAACGTGTTAAAAGACTTGGGCCTCGTTTGGTTTACGGAAAAGATTTGATGAGAAATAATTTTTCATATCTTTTCTCAAGGGATAAGCAATGGAAGATTCATTCTCATGTTTGGTAATGCTAGGAAAGTAACAAGAAAATACCTCCCTAAACCCTAAATACCACTTTATTTCCTTTTTCCCATATTTAATTTGAGTAGGAATGTAAAACAAAATTTGTTTAATTTTTTAATTATACCCATACTAAATCAAATTAAAAAATGAAATTTAATGTTATATTCTAATGCTAAAGAGTGCTTCTATTTCTATTAGTCCTAGGCTATCCTTAGATTTGAATATGAAATCATGATTGGTTTGAAAGTTTGATACTTTGTTATGATAATTTTTGTATTTCAAATATGAGATAAGGATATCCTCATGAAAGTAGGAGTCCTATCTTATCTTTGTAGCTGAGCTATACTGATGGATCATTCAGCCAAAAACGTGTTTAATATTTTACAATTTCCACCTCTATCCTATTTTCCCACTAATCTTATCTTCAAAATTTTAAAGACAAATATATCCCTTTGTAAATAACTTCTAAGAACTTATGAGAAAAAAAGTCAAATCACCTAACCTATCTATTCTTTAAAAATAATTTTAAATTTTAAAACCGAAAGTAAAAATAGTGAATTCGACCATGCCGTTTGGACCTGGAATAGGAATGACGATGATGAACCTGTAAGGTCTAATCAGGTCTGGGTAACCCATTGATCAGTTCAGGATGTGTTGCTGAGAAGAGACAAGAACGAAGGAATATACTTGTGGCTTCGTAGAACTTGTCATGCATGTGATGCTACCTGATTGGCATTATTGCATGAAGCTTATCAAATCAAGGTTTTTATGCATGTGATGAAATCATTTATCAACTGGTTGATGTGCTAATATAAAATCCCATCATTGCTGCTTGAATCGGTAAAACATGGTGGGTCCACGATGTGCTAATTGAGCTCTCTCAACTGGTTGATGTGTCTGGAAAACTGGTTTTTTAGTAGTTTGAATGTTCAAGAACTTCAGCATATTGTTGATGTGTAGCATATATATTGGGGAAGAGCCTCATGAACCTGGAAAATTGAGAGAGAGGATTGCGTGGAAAGATAGGAAGATAAGGTGGGTATTTTAAGAATAATAATTGTGGATGAAAAGATAAGATTGTGTTTTTTTTTTTCAAATTTACATGATGGGTGAGAAGAAAAGGTGGGTAGGTAATTAGCAGTACTCATTCTAAATTGTCAATGGGGACAAAATTGTTATGAGAAATGTGCATTTAATGCTAGCTCATTTTTTGGGGGGGGGGGGGGGGGGGGGGAGGACGAAGGAGGGAGGACAGTTTCATTTTCCTCCTTATTTTTCATGTGCCAAGCAACCATTTCCCATACCGAAACTTACTGAATATTTGATTTCCCATGAACCAAACGCCCCTTATTATAGAGGTCTAGTTGATAATAAGAAACAAAATATCAGCGACGATCGAGTGTAAATTGACACGAATGTCAATTTTTTTATTATTTAGAATTGCAAATGTCTTTTTATACAAGTCTTTTAAGAAACAAAATTTACACTTGGTCACCGCTTCATCTTCTTTCGATCATGGAAAAACTCTGCAAAATTGAACCATTTCTCCATCGTCATCAATCGATGGCGATCAAAACCCACAACTATATCTATTGTCTCTTCAAATTTCAACTTTAATTTAATGGGTTATGATCAAGGTCTAAAATATCGGGAGTTTTGAAAATATCGGTGATCCAAAAACATGGAAATTTCAATGGAAATATTGGGAAAATATCGATACTGGTAAAATTTGTATAAAAACCATAGAAATTGTGAGAAAAACTTAGAAATTTTTATTGAAACTTTATAGAATGTTTATTTAATCAATTCTCTATGATTTTATCACCAAAAATTGGAAGAAAATATATTGGATTGTGGGTTTGAGTGATTTAAGTTGATTATATAGTGAGTTGACAAACACTGTAAGTTTAGAAAATGAGTAATGCTATTTAGACACACAACAT